ATGCTATAGGGGCAATATTATCTCAAAATGACCACCCAATTTGTTATGCATCTAGAACATTAAATTCAGCAGAAATAAATTATTCAACTATAGAAAAGGAATTATTAGCCATAGTTTTTGGTTGTAAAACTTTTCGCCCTTATTTATTTGGTAGAAAATTTGTTATATTCTCTGATCATATGCCTTTACAATGGTTATTTTCCCTTAAGGAACCTAATTCACGACTTGTAAGATGGCGACTTAAACTCGAAGAATTTGATTATATTATAAAATATAAAAAAGGTAAACAAAATAAAGCAGCTGATGCATTATCTCGTAATCCTCCTAAACAGGATGAATCTCTTAACGCTTTAGAAACCGTTAGTACAGATGTAAATGTAGATGACATTGACGAAATAATAGAAAAAGCATTAAATAATATTATTGAATTACCCTCTCTTGATGAAATAGACTTATCAATTTTAGGTTTAAAAGAAAAACCAAAAATAAATATATTATCAGATATACAAATAAAACCCCCAGATGAAGTAAAACAAACAGAAAAAGAATCAGATTTAGAAACTATTCATACTTCGTTAGAAAATCCTATTTTATCAATACCTATTTCAGAACGATGTTTAAACTCTTATAAAAATCAAGTTTATATTACAATAGGAGAATCAATAAATAATCAAGTAAGAACAGAAAAGATTTTTGAAAACTCTAGAATATACGTAACCTTATCTAAAATTAATTTAGAACAACAAATTATTAATTTTGTTAAAAATTATATTGATCCAAAAGTAACATATGCCTTATATTTTAAAAATCAAAATTTACCTGAAACATTTATAACTACAGTGCAAAATAATTTTAAACATTCTGCATTTAAATTTATACATTGTACAAAATTTTTGACAGACATTTTAACAACTGATGAACAAAAAACTAAAATTGAATATTACCATATTTATAAATCAGGACATAGAGGCATTAATGAAGTAAATACAGCCTTAAGTTCTAGATATTATTGGCCAAAAATGATGGAAGATATTAAGTATTATATAAATAATTGTGAAACTTGTCAGAAAAATAAATATGATAGAAATCCTCCAATAGTAAAATTTAATTTAACGCCTACAGCCACAAAACCATTTGAACATATACATATTGACGTATTTAAAATTTCTAATCAATCATATTTAACTATTATTGATTCATTTTCAAGATATGGTCAGGCATATCCTATGAAAAGTATAACAGGAATAAATGTAGTAGATAATTTATTAAATTTTGTAACCCATCATGGATTACCTCAAAAAATTACAACAGATAGTGGCACTGAATTCAAAAATTATGATTTAGAAGATTTTTGTAAATTACATCATATTGAACTTCATTATACTACTGCTAAAAATAGCAATTCAAATTCACCTGTAGAACGTTTTCATTCAAGTTTAATTGAACATTTTAGATGTCTCAAAGAAGAAAATAATGATTTAACCCCTGATCAATTAATAAAACATGCTATATTAGCCTATAATAATTCCGTACATTCCGTAACAAAATTCACTCCTTATCAAATAATTAAAGGACATATTAATAATGAAGATCCTTTTGATTTAAATGATCACCTTATAATTTCAAATTACGTACAAAATCATAAACAAATTAGTAAAAAATTATATGAAGACATAAAAGATAAAAACGAAACAATTAAACAAAAAGTAATAGAAAATAGAAATGAAAATCGATCAGAACCAATTAATTATGAAGAACCAAGCACTGCATATATAAAAACTAAATTAAGAAATAAAGCTTCTCCAGTTTATAAGAAAACTAAGGTTATTAAAAATAAAGGTATTTTATTAAAAACTAACAAAGGGACTTATCACAAAAGTATAATTAAAAAACCTAAAGGTTCAAAAACTAATTCAAATTTATTATTACAGAAACAAGACGAAAATGGGGACAAAAATAATGATAATCTGCCTAGTACTTCTAGTAATAGAACAAATTAATGCACAAGAAGATATACAAATAACTCCACTTGAAAATTTATTATTACCTATAAAATTAGGAACATCAAAAGTAATTTATAGTAAACATACATTTTTACATTATATAGATATAAATTCTATAATTGAACAAGTTCAGCAATTAACTAAAAATTTTGAAATACTTAAAAATCTTATTATTCATGTAGATAATATAACCAATCAAATATCATATCATAGTCTTGCTCAAAATAATTTATTACGAACTGAAATATTAATAAATACTGTTCAGAAAAAATTAGGAAATATTCATCCTTATATTAGAAATAAAAGAGGCTTAATCAATGGTCTTGGAAAATTCAATAAATGGTTATTTGGAAATTTAGACTCGGATGATGAAGAAAGATATAATAAAGCTATAGATCATTTACAACAAAATCAGAAAAATCTCATTGCAGAAACAAATTTACAAATGTCACTTTATAAAAAATTAATTGATCACTATAATCGGACAATAACAATTTTATTTAAAAATCAACAAGCATTTACTGATACTCTTAAAAAACTCCAATATTCAATAGCAAAGAAAATACAAACTTTAGAAACTTTCGTAAACTTTCAAGGAGCACTATCTCAAATTAATTTAGATTGTCAAACTATAATAACTTTACTTGATAATTTAGAAAACGCCATATCATTTTCAAAGTTAAATACATTACATAATTCAATAATTTCTATTGAAGAAATTTTAGATTTATTACAATATTTATCGAAATTATATAAAGAAAATGAAATTCTCAAATTTCAAAATATTCTTTCATATTATCAAATTCTAGGTACACAAGTAACATTTACTAAAACAAAACTAATATTTGCTATTCATATTCCTATTTTGAAACCTGTTTCCTATGAATTTTATCACCTTTATCCTATTATCCAAAATGATAAAATGTTTATCCCCAATTACCCTTATTTGGCACGGAAGAAAACCGAAGTTCAATTCGAAAAAGATGAATGTCCAACAGTAGAAAAAGTATACTATTGTCAAGAAAATTATATTACTAAAGATGATTGCACCCTTCAACTATTAGATGGAAATAATCCAAATAATTGCCAATTTTTAGATGTAAGCATTAAAGAATCAATCAGTCAACAAATCACAAGAGACGAAGTCCTATTTATGCCCTCAAAGCCTGAAAAAATACTTTCAACGTGCGAATCCAATCAATATTTAAAAATTGAAAAACCAGTTTTAATTAAAATTCCAAAAAAGTGTAATATAGAAATTAATGAAGAAAATTACATTAACGACGTCCAAATCCAAGAAGGAACGCCTGTGATTTTACCAAAATTCGAAATAGAAGATATGAAGACACCATTTCAATTTCAAAAAGCTAATTTAACTAAAGTCAATTTTGAAAATTTATACGAAATAAGTAAAATTGCTAAAAGTTTAAAACCAGTAGAAGAAGTAATAGACAATCCTTATAAAACTAAATCAATATCAATTATCATAATTATAATCTTATGCCTTATCATTTATTTAATATGGAAAAGAAGAAAAGAATTATTACAATTGAAGATATGTCCTCATCGAAAAGAAGAAAGAAAATCTACAAATAAAGAAAATGAAGAAATAGAATTAGAAGTAAGAAGAAAAGAAGATAATCCAGAAACTTCGAAGAATCAGTCCCTAATCTTCTCAGCTTAGGAAGGGAGGAGTTATATGTATAGAATTAGCATAGTAAATATTTTTTATCTCTAGCTTAGTCAGCATTTAAAAAGTTATAAATATATGTTAACTTGTTTATTTCAATAATTCTTCAGATATTCTTCATACTTGATTGTTGTAGTTTGGAATTAAATAGTTTTTTTTTAAAAAACGGTTTTTCCTTTAAAAAACCATAATTAACGAGTTGTATGTACAGAATTAGCCTAGTAAATATTATTTTATCTTTAGCTTAGTCAGCACTTAAAAACTTATAAATATATGTAACTTGTTTATTTCAACATTCTTCATGAATTCTTCTTTGTAATTTCGACACTAACGTTGTAGTTCAGGAATTAGAGTTTTTTAAAAAACGGTTTTTCTCTCAAAAAACCATAATTGACGTGTTCATTTTTTTACTAAAGGATATAATTAAATTGGAATTGCGCAGATTTTAAAAGTTACCCAATCGTCATAACTATAGTACTAAGACAAGAAGACTAGGGACATCTCAAGACGTCCTAGTCCTGGTAAATGCAAAATAAAGAAGCTCGTTTCAAAAATATGCGATAATTGCTTTGAGTTGTGTAATATATAACTGGAAAAAACCAAAATTATTTTAATTACATGATCGGTCGCGATGCAGCACGGAATGCCGCAAACTCAACACCAATTACTTCAACGTCTCAGTGAGAACTGAAAAAAATATAAACCGCCATCGTTTCTGCATAATAGGTTGCCTAATATAGTCATTTGGGCCAGTAAGTAACTTTTGTCAACTCTTATTGTTTTTATAAGCTTAAAAATGGATTTATAGCCGAAATCGGTCGCCCTTTTAATTAAATATTATATGTGGGATAGATTTTGAATTTTATTTGTCTCGTCGAAGATGACCACATTTGAGAGTTAAATATTCTCATGCTAAAGTAAAAATTAAAATTCGATTTTCAGTAATTTATGACCCGCCCTGTAACTTATAATAATGAACGTCATAATATGGTATACTGTAAATATTATTTGATAACAGAAAAGCATTATTCTCGAGAAATATCTCTACTCATAGTAGTTTGCTATGCGGCAAGTTCTCTTTAAAAAACGTTCAATTTGCAACTTCAATGCCCTGTATATCAAAAACTTTTCTTAGGATTAAGTTGTGTCCATGAATACTATTGTTCAAGAAGTTGAAAACTGCAACATACTATATCAAAAATTCAGAAAATTTTATTGAAGCCCATTTTTCCATAATCCGGCTGCCTGGTCCATTTCTGCAAGTTTTTTTTTGTTACAATATTAGTTTTATATCCTTTATATTTTAGGAACCAAAAAATATGCAACTAAGTTTAAGCCCAACTGAGATTTTAATACCGCCACATGATAAATTTGAAGTTGACTTGACCATTACTACAGATGTCTTAGGCTTGCATGAATACCCCTTAATGTAAGGATTATTTCTGATAAACTTCCCACACCCAGGTCCCTTATATTTTTAATTATATATTATATTAATTGCATTTAATTCTTTGTGATATCTAAACTTACCTGTTAGTGATCTTCTAGTTTAACAAGATTTTTTTTAATATACCCTCTATGAATTTAGTAAATTATGAAAAATAATCCAGAAGTAGATGCAGAGTTTAGAGCATATTATAGTCTAGAAAATAAAGAAGCGCAGTAATTTAATTTGCAGGTTTAAGGGATAGACATTTTATTTATACCTCACCCTTCAATGCTTATTTGCAGTTAAAATGAAAATTTTAATACATCTGATCGGCCTAATGAAAGTTTTAGTTTAGATTTAATCATGTTTCCATGTTATTTACTATTATAAACCTTTTATTTTGACAGATAAGTCAGATTTAATTTATTCATAGCCGTATCGTATGTATTTTAATTGATTCGAAATTAGACTTTGTTTAACTTTCTGTGGATAAAATAGCTACTAAATGTGAGACCTATACTGGAGTATTTAAGCGGACAGTGTATAACATTGTTAAGGAAGATACAGTTATTGGAGAAGTCTCACATCCGAAAAATCCCGCAGGAAGAAAACCTTTATTGAAACTTGGGTAAAGAATGTAATAAGGCAAATGGTACATTCTTTTTTCTTTCGAAATGAAATTCTTACACAAAAAATTACACTCAGTGTAAGATGTTTTCTTGCCTCTAAGAAAATATAACCCTTACAAGTGACACCCTAGGACTCGGAAGTACTCGAGGGCCATTTTTATTAATATGGTCTGCTCCACAACTCAGGCAGCTTCTAGTGGAGATGACGGAAAACTCCAGGGGTCTCGTTGATATCAGACTATGCACATAAGAGGGTAACAATAACGGGCTTTAATCGTTATTGTTACGTTAAAGAATTGTCGAAAGCTAAAAGAGAAAAGGGGGTAAGGTCAACACACAATTATAAGCCAAATTTTTAAAAATTAATACATCTATTGCTTACGAAAGCTATTAACAATAATGAAATTTAAAAATAAAAATATTTCAAAGCCCACCCCTTTATCAGTCATTATAACCCTGAACAAAAATAACAAAAACAAGCGGTTGCGGACGATAGCTTGACAGGCTGGAAGCTCAATCAGACGTGATTAGATAAATATAAAGATAAAAATAAATGACAAGGAGTTCTGGATTAAGTCGGATTACGGTAGCATTTAGTTATGAATAGGGAATATAAGCGGAATTAAAATTCAATATTAACAATTATGAATTAGAAGAAAAATAAAATTAATCGGTACCAGGTAACTAGTTTAGCTCCCCATCTAATATCCCGCCCTTTCGGAGTTGAATGAAAGTTAAAGACAAAAAAAAAAAATCCACGTATAATGTCTAATTACTAGTAGTGTCCCGACACAGTCACGCATACAAAACACTAGTTAGTTTTCAGACATTATTTTTTTTAACATTAAATCGATTACGAGACCCACCCTGTGTTTAACTTAAAGGAAAGAAAATTGAAGTAAAAGAATCAACAACTGTAAAAAAAAATAACTAACCTAGACCTGGCAGCAATTAAATCGTTAAATCTATTTATTTTATCTTATTAAATAATAATTTAATCATATTCAAAATCGGAAAATAAAATAAAATAAAATCAATTATTTATTTGGGAAATGAAAATAAATCTTTCTAAAAATTTTAAGATTTTCAACAGAGCAAAATGCTTTAATACAAATCGATTCGGTATTTCAATTTTAAACTCAAAAGAAAATAAAGCAGGTATAAATTCGAATGTTTTTATTTATTTTCAAAAACAGCGATGTTTTTTTACCTGTGCTTGTTGAACGGTTTTTATCGGCGGCGGCTGGTACTGATGGAATCGGTTCTCGCTAGTTGAAGGCGTCGGGTGAAAGATAATGAGCACAATATATCCCCTATAGTAGTGCATCTCACTTGTTAAAGAGTTGGCACTAAGTTTGCAGCGCAAGAATGCGTCTGTGTCTGGCCGCTCAACTAACTCGATATGGCGGTAAATTCAAATATAATTTAAAGGCGAAATTTAAATTTCCCGCCAAAATTGTAAATTTTCAGCCGCGGAATGGCGGGAATTTTTAAATATATTCATTCGGCAATAATTATTGAGAAGTATATTGCATGTTCGATTAAACGAGCTGTAAATCCAGGCGCTATTTTTATTTTGATAGCTAAAAATAATACTAATTCTTTTATTATTAGCTATTACAATAAGAGCAGCATTTGGATTAACAACACATTTAAAAGAACATGTAATATACTTTTCAATTTTACCTAAATCACTTATTTTTTACCTATAGAGGTTAGATCTGAAAAAAAATTGGCTCTGGTAAAAAAACAAAAAATTGTATAAAGTATTTTATTTGAAAAATTATGAAACTTATTTAATATATTTTAAAGACGAAGATAACTCTAGCCATATCCATTTTACTGAAAAAAAAAAGAAACTATTAAATGAAATCATTTAGTTATTAAGAGATGTTTGTGATAATACAGTGGCAGCTTTCGAATGTTGTACAATACGTTTTGCTAATGTCCAAGTAAAAACTACAAAGAGTTAGCATTAGTGGGAGAAGGAATAGAATACTATGAACGTAGCCAGCCGGCTACGTGGGGATGCATCACACCGTGTGCCTGTTCATATTACACAGCACACAAGGCAACATTCATATTATTCGTTTCCTGATCGAACTAATGCGCTAACTCTTTAGTTTTATTTTCGATTCTAGCCAAGCGTATTGGAAAGTGTTCATTAGCCGATACTGTATATAAATGCTAAAATCAATAAGTGAAATAAAAAAATTTAGTTTAAATGGACATCTACTTCGAAAAAAGTAACTTATTATACTTGAATTTTAAAGGCTGTTGCCACTGGAAAACTATTATCTAGGGCTTGGATGACAGCCATAGGACTCCCTCCTTGAATCGTGTCCATAGGAAAGCATAAGATCATAGTTAAATTATAATATTAAGAGGGTAGGTATTAACTGAAAAATTATTACAAACTTACCTCAAAATTGGCACCCACATTAAAAGAAGGGAAACCGGAAACATAAAATTGTTATACTTGAATTTTAAAGGCTTTTCCCACTGGAAAAGAATTATCTAGGGCGCAGACCCTTGGATGACAGCCATAGATAGCAATCCCTCCTCGATTCCTCTTTTTCTTGTTGTACGTTTTGTTTCCCAAATTAAATAAGAAAGCACTTAATACAACAACACAAATCACAATAAATATCGCTGAAACAAAATTAATATTAAATTTCGTAGAAGAAAAAATCAAAAAATTATCACTTGTCAACACTGACAATTCACGCTTCACTTATAAAAACTCAACGCTAAAGAATGAAAGATGATTCGAAATAGAAATTATTAACTGGTATCTCTTTCTTTTATAAGTATCTAAACAAAGAGAAGGAGTGGGAATGAGTAACGCTCCGATCAGATTGTTTTGAATTCGTCGTCAACCAATGAACGTGCCGAAGTCAAAAATCAATAACGATACTAGCGCCATGAGACCTGTGTCTGGCCGCAGCGTAACTCAAAGCCATTTCTTGAATCCCAGTTACATTACTATAGGGGATATATTGTGGATAATGAGCAATGTTGCCAGAATATATTTTTGTTATGTACCAGACTTGTTTAAAAAATGGACTAGATTACATACAAATGTACTAGATTCTGTTAAATGTACCAGATTTTCGAATGAATTATGATGTTGTTTGGTTCATTATGGAAAAAAGAATAGTTTTTTAGAACGAAATCAAAACAAAGAGCAAGATGCCAACAATGGGCCCTATGATTGAACGTTTACGTTATCCGTAACGTACATGTTAGGCCGAATTTTAAAAGTAACGAGGCATGTTCGTATGATGGAAACCTGTTAAATTAGAACATAACAGGCGGAAAATAGTTGTAATGTATTTGAAAAAGTTTTCCATTATACGAACTTGCCTCATTATTGTTAAAACTCGGACTAACATGTACGTTACGGATAACGTAAAAGTTCAATCATAGGACCCATAATATTTTACACGCTTCAACTGATAACACGCTGAAAAATAAAAAGGTACTAGATTTTTTTTAGACTGGCAACACTGATAATGAGATCTGGGCACCTATCATCGACTAGTGCGTATAAGCGCTCGCTTTGAAGAGATGCGAGTGGTTCAATGCGAAGACGCATTAGAAACCGTATTCTTAACCCTTCGTATCTGTGCCTTCGTAATCCTCTTTTATAAATGCTAATGGCAACCATGGCAACCATGTATGATCGACGATTATGTATGTTAAATTGTCTGCTAGAAAGGGGACTCAAAGTTCACACCGCTTGTTTTGTGAAAATTATTCGCAAAAAGAAGCAATATTAATATGAGTAATGGTTTTGAGCATAAAGTCGTGGTTTTGGATTGTTTTTTGATGTACTGTTTGGCTATACATAATTTGCAGCGTTACAAAATGGAAAATATTAGTAAAAAGACACATATAATTAACCGAAACAATCTAATAAACGCTTGATCAGAAAGTCTGAAAGGAGCTTTCCTATCATCATAAACTCTTCGAGGATGATTATTTGCCTCTTCTAATTTCTAATAAGATATTTAAAAAAATTATATTTGCCATCATACCTATAGGTTTTCCTACTTATCCTATATTTCTCAAATAAATAAATAAAAGTAACTTCGTTATATCAGAAATATAAAATAGCCCCACTCTTTCAAATATTATAATATTTTTTTCAGAAAAAAGTTTTCTGTACTCCCCGCAAGGTTTCCAACTCCGTGGCTAACAGTTTGGAACCTTGTGAAGAGTGCTCGCCCAATAGTTGCTTGAAATGCGATAAATTCTTTCCTCAAGCATGTAGTCGAATTCTATAGTCTAGAAGAAAGTAGTGCAGTAGTCTCGACCTGCAAAACACTACTTTCCGGTCTTGTAACGTAAATTACCATTTTTAAGACCGACCAGAAAGTATACCTACACTTTCTCAACAATTTTTCGTCCTGAAAATAACGTTTTGCCGATCAAGACCAGAAAGTAGACGTTAGGGACCGGTAAAAGCTTAACCGGTCTCTATTTTTCATTTTTTCGTTCGCTGTTTGATAATACAGGGATGCGTTCAGAAATGTAAGGTAAATGCGTCGGACGTTGTCTAAATTCAAAAAAGCGTTCCTAAATATGGAACATTTTATCTGGACGAATTACCCCAGCTGTTCCTATTTAAAAGAAAAACGCGTCGGGATAAAGAAATTTTACCCACCGTGTTGAATTGGGTAATGTTTACTCGACTTGCGCAGTATGTTATAACCCTAATTAATCTAAGAAACCACCTAGTATTTATTTTTTATTTTTACTTTTTGAGTAAAAAATATTTAAATATGAGTATGAATGAGAAAATAATTCAATCAATTAGCGTCTAGTTGTCGGAAACGATGGTAATTTCATTATAGAAAATGATAAAATTTTATGACACAGGAAAAATTGAATTTTTATATAAAAAAGTCTATGTGGACGTCAATGATGTTACCTATTTACTAATTTTTGATAATTCCTACAATCTCAGATAACAGAAAAGACATAACCAAAAACTTGATTTAACAATACTTGCACTTACCGTTCGTATTTATCGGGCAAAAATAAATGTTCCGACGAATTTTGTCCGGACGATTGAAAATTTTACGCTCTCGATTTATGAACGCACCCTAGTCTGCCTTAATTTCGTTACTATGGTAACAAGGTTTCAATTTATTGCCAAGTGACAGTTAGATTTGTTGTTTATGTCAAACTTGTTTTCGTACATTTAAAAAATATGGATTCAAGCCTATAGGTTGACCTAGGTATGAGGCATTTTTCACTTAAAATTGTCCAAGAAATGTTCTTAAGGAATCACGGCTTAATGAAAATACTCACAAAGCATTTTAATAAAATAATTTTGTTCAGTTCTTTTGAGAAAAGTATAATTATAATAATAACTAAATGTATGATCGTTTTAGGTTTACTTTAGTTGGACAAGAAACCCCTACAAAGTACTGTAATTTAAAATGCAATGGTCAAGGACCTGTTGTATCATATTTTCCAGATAACATCAACTTTGGACAGGTCCAATTGCTAACGACAGCAGTTAAACAGATGTCAATTATCAACGACTCCCCAATTAAAGCCAAAATATTTTTGACATCGGCAAGTAGATCGGGAAATTTTAAAAATTAACATGCCCCTTTATTTAATTTAAAAATAATTGCAGACTAACAAAGCTGAGGTCCAGTTGCCAATAGAAGAACTTGACCTTTTTCCAGAATGTGAGGTACAAGTTGACGTCATTTGTTATTTAACAGAAGATGGGAAATTTGATTGTCAGGTACAGTTACATAACATTTTTTGTATTGGGCCTATATTTTTATTATTAGTGTACATTTTTTAGTACATAGTGCTAGAAGTACTTTATGTAAGAGAAAATCAAATTAGAGATTTAATATTTATTTTAATAATTATTAAAGTTAACTAATCGAATATAACAGTAAAGTTTTTTTACAATCTATTTTAGTACTTTAGTAAAATTTTGATGTTCAAATTTCACTGTAGGCCAAAGAAATATTAAAGGTGGAAATTTTTTGTCCACTGTGTCCCATAACGAATACCAATAAATTCAGAATTTAAATTTTGTAGCTAAATGTCTACTTTTATAATTCCATATCTGTGTGTATTTGTAGGAAGAGTGAAATAGAAAACCAATAAGGTTTTTATTCTTTATTTTAACAATTCTGGACAATACGTGAAGTGGTATAACAAATAAATAAAAAGGGTAGCGTTGATTAAAATTTACTGATAATATACTGTGACGATGGTTTATTTTAAAAAATAGTTTATTTATAATTTATTTACATCAAGTACTAATTAATTTATTTATACTCAAGCACTATTTCACATTTACATTTTTTTATAATTTACCTTTACTTGACAATACTTATTTAAAACGTAACTTAAACTGCGAAAGAATCCGCTTATATACAAAAATGTAAGCGGCCATATTAAATTTAGTACCACTCCAATTTGATAATGGCAGCATATCGCCTCAGAATTTTACCACTGAATTTTCCATCTATTCACATTACCCTTATCTGTGATGTTAGTCTAAAAGTTCTCGAAATTCTTCCTCCACGCTTCGGATCGAGTACAGAGAAAATATTTCAGTCGAGTCCAGAGATAAGACATAACAGATGGTTTCCATTATATACAAAACTTGTCTACGCGTTTTGGACCAATTTTAGGCACTAGTTGCGCATTACGCATGGTGGCGGTTCAATATTGAACTATAAACATTTGAAAATTACCTGAAAATAGTTCTTACTCAACACGACTATACACTGTGACACTCCTAAGGTGTGGGTTTATGGGAAAAGTTACTTTTTTTAGTTAATAAAGTCCACTAAATTCCCAACAAAATGAGACCAATTATGTCAGAGTTTGCAAAATGAAGTATTATAATTTATTAAAATACACATTTTACTAATTAAAACATTAATATGAAAAATATAATAAAACGCCTTATTGTATTTTATGTACAGCACAGTTAGGGAAATAGTTATTACTCACATTTTTTGTATATTTTTGATGTATAAGGCTCGTCCTCTGAATCCACAACACACCTTTTTGGGGCAGTTTGCTAAGGTAAAATTTCTTCATCGAACTGCTCAGGAAGGTCGAAATCGTCATTTGATGGTGTGTCATCAATGAACCCAATGTCGTCACACATCAGGTCTGGTATGTTCTCGCAAGATTGGCCAGTGCAGTAGCTGCAAACAGCCGAGCATTTCAGTCCTGCTTTACTGCAATCACAACTTCTGATACAACCTTTTTTACAGTTACAGAAAATCATATTTAGCAGAGCTTGAGGAGCTGGGGGCCATCATCTGTTGAGGACCGAGGCCTTGTGTACTCCGCATCCAGCCCCAATCGAGAGGATTTTTCTCATTTCCCAGCCACTTCTGTACCTGAAACGCCGCTGAAACAAAATGAACAACAAAATAAGGAACCATGTATAAAGAATTTGGTCTGAAGGAGAAATGAATACAAGCAAAAAACTTATTCTCACCTGGTGGTATGTTCGCAGAGAGTGAACCATCGTCCCTGGTTGGAGAAACTCTGGCGAGGTTCTTGTTGGGCTTAACTGCCGCCCTAGTCAACAACTGGAAGCGAAGATCGCCAAGATTTTGCATTTTGTTCGAGGCGTGGCTGTTTTTTTATTGTCGATAAAAATTTCTTTTTTCCTTGGCCAAAAGGTGCTGATGTTGTATCACAATCGTTAAACGCATGAAGGAACAGTCCTATTCCGGGTTGTGATAATTGCGTAAAGGAATTTGTCGAGTAGGTGACATCTGGGTTTTTTCCTCTCCCACATTTTCAAAAATATAATATTGTTATTTGGTTTGTTTGTTGGAAGGATGTGGTCTCCTTTATCTCATGATAAACCACAAAGTAAGGCCAACAAATCTATATCCTCGCCGAAGATCTTCACTACTTCGTAGGAAGAGGATATGGAAATGGTTGTGGTTACTATTAACCTATCAGCATCTTCCTCTGCCTGTAATGTTAGAATTTTGTTCTTCTCCAGGTGAACCTTCAGCATGTCGATGAGTCTAACTTTAGAAATTTGTTCTGAGCAACTGAAACAATGGTTGTTTCATCGAATATAACGATGACTTTGTACCCTTCCTGATTCGAACTTTATTAAATAATGACATGGGAAATGGTGACAATTCATGTGTGAAAAAGTCCTTCAACTCTTCATTGGTCTTTTTAAAAATGCATAATCTATCTGGTCTATCAAAACCAAATTACATAATTGTTTACTTACCTCAACAACTTTGAACAGCTGTGTCTCAGGAACTATCAGGTTTAATTTGACATATTTGTTGGGAATTTAATTTTAATAACTGAAAATAGTTACTTTTCCAATAAACCCACTACCTAGGGGTAAAAATTGTCGAAAACTAAAAAAAACCTCCTTTTTTTTGAAATTTTGCAAACTTTTAAATAGCCGTATCCTAAAAACTATTTGGCTTACCAAAACCAAATAACTCTCATTTAATTGAAAATTTGTTCTGCTTAAAAAGTGTCTATAGTAACTTTTGCCGTCATTTGCCATATGGCCACTCGCAAACGACCCGCTTTGAGGAATCTATATAACTATATATGTATCATTGACTCTGTGAATAACAACAGGCCCACAGGATTGCCATATCTAAACTGTCAGTTCCCACATCTAAACTGTCAGTTCACACGTGTCAGTATTTTGACAGGTGGTTGGAATGCCTAATATTAGAGAATCTTTGATCTTTCTGGAAGTTTATAAATGACAAACGCTCTAGCCACAATCTACCTAGCTCCATATTTTATGACAATCATGTGGTCAAGATATCTCAAATTTATTTAGATACATCTATTAAACTGTATATTGATAGTCCAATTCTAATACCTTGTATCTGCAAACAAATTAAATTTCACTTTTTCGCGCCATTCGGTTGTACATTTACTCTGTCATTAGCAGGGGGCTTATAACATATGCGCGTTATATCAACAGGTTAGTGCGCAACACATCCGCGCATATCAGTCCGTTTTACAATAATAAAATGATATTTAAATTTAAAGTACACTGAATAATTGAATAATTCAAATATATTTCGCTTAATAACAAAAGTAATACACGGTAAGTATTGTTTTTAAATTATATATTTATATAAATACTACAATTATTTGAAAAACATGAATTAATCAATTATTTGTACAATGTAAATCTGACTTTGGGATTGTCACTCGTTCGAACCGATACAATAACAAAACTGAACAAAACAATATGGTTATGGTTGCTGAATAAAACGTGGTAAGTACTTTTACTTTTATTTAATTTTAGTTTTAGTTAAACATGTTAAATTTAAAATTAAGCAACGATATGTTGATGTTTTAACATGTGTTTAGCAGGTCCTGTTCGTAATAAATTCATAGTATCTAATTGTAATAGCGTTATGTTTGTATAAAGGTAAATAGTACAATTTACTGTCCAATTTATGCTGTACATTTTAAGAACACATTTTTTTTATTTCCTTCCGATATTAAGCAAGGAACTAAATGATGCCGCATAAACTTCAACATTCCACTTGCGAAAAACCATTTATAGGTTACAAGACTGTAAATTGGCTTTACCTTTGGTACCCTTGAAAGCTAAATTAACAGTAAAGAGTAATACTAAAGTAATATTGTTATCATACCGTCAAACAAATTACCAGTGAAAAGAAAGTTACATTCGATTAAAATTTCATCCAATGAAATATAATTATTACCTAAAAAACAATAATTAGCTCTTGGATTTTTAAATCAATCCAGTGAATGGTTAGCTCAAAGGGAGAAAAAACTCTATTTTATAATTAGAAAACAGCAAAGTAAAATTTGCGAATCAAAGAAGGACCTCAAAGCTTGATCCCGCAGACATTTGTTTTTTTTTAAAGTATTACATCTAATTAAAAGATGAAGGGACTACCATTATTAATTATAAAATAATATAATGAAAGTATAAAACTGTGACAATGTCTAAAAGAAAAAAGAGATTCAAAATAATATGAAGTTAAAATACTACTTTGAATTTTTTCTGTTCCAGATTATATGGATGGTTCTCCTTAATGTGTTTTGTTACCTACCCAAGTTTACAGAAAGTTTTAGTTGTTTTATTAAAATATTGTTTATTTAGAACATTTATTATAAATTAGTTTTAATGATATAATAGATAATACAATTATTTTATATTAAATTATTTTACCCTTCCTAAAATTATGGGTCATAAAATTTTACATTTTGATTGGCATTTTGTTACATCTTGCACCTTGTCTGTGTTGTAAAAAATGCCAATAAAAATGCAAAATTTTAGTTATACTAATTAAAGTAGAGCTACAAACAAAATCCCGCTAATTTTTAAATAAAATAAAATATGCAGATATCTATATTACCGACTGAGAAATAGTTGGACAAATCCCTTACCGGTGGCGCTGCAAGCAAACCTGTTGCCATATTTCTTCAAAGAAACGGCAACTCTTAATTATCCTTCCTCCATGGTCATTAGTTAAAATACAGCGTATTGGCTTCGGATAATGTTTACATGAGAAATTTGATCACTCTAATAACCGTTATTGCGATTATATATTATACAGGGTGAGTCGGGAGGAGAGCACCAAACTCTAGGAGTATATTATACACGTGAAAATAATGTAAAAAAAACTCATATGTTCTTATTCGATTTTAATTTGTTTTCAAGTTATAGCATATTAACAAATAAACAAATTTACACATAAAAATTCTCTTAATCATAGC